GTAAAGAAGTATAAAAGACATTTTCTGACAATTTTTAGTGAGTGGCATATTTCACAAAGGTTAAAAAAATAAAGATTTTAATTTTCTTTCCTCCGCTAAAAATCGGCTTTTCGTTTAAGAATCATGATCATATTATTTTTTCATATCTCAGACTTCTAAGAATTAGCAAAAAAATCATCATTAATTAATTTCGAATTTTACTATAAAAATAGAAATAAAATTTAAAAAAAAGTTTTTTTGAAAGTCTCGAAAACCGTTCGAGTTAAAGAGCTAAAAATTTAGGTGAATTATTTTGATTCGAGACCAAATCGATCCCCTGAGTGCGAGCCGAGGGGGCAGACTTCCTATATTAATCCCGCCTATTGATTTTTACTTCAATTTCGTTTAGATGTCTATGTTGATCTGTGTGTTAAACCCCGAAGAAGAATTGAAAACCAATCTATTCCATACAAATAGAAATAAACAAGGGTTGTTATTGAAAGAACACTTATTTGAATTAAAAAAAGAGAGGCAAAGTAAAATGAGCATCGAATTTCTTCCCCCGCTGCTTTTAACAACAAATTACACTTTGTTTTACACCACTTTATCTTCTTTAAAACATCGTTCCAGCGACGTTCTAGAAAATAATTTTAATGCACCAGTTAATAATGAAATAGGTCCGCCTTTAGACAAAAACAACACCAACATGGAGTTGGTTGAATTTATGGGTTGCCGCAAACAAATGTGCACCCTACTTAGCCAAAAACTTTGTTTTCCATTTTTAGAGAGAAGCTCACAAGAATATATACGCAGCATAATATAGTTATTTTGAACTGATGCAAAATAAAATAAGATTTCTTTCACAGAAAATCTGAAAAAAATCTAATTAAAAAGCAATTACTGAAGTCAGAAGATTATTAAATTAAAAGATGAAAACTTGGTTTGATAAAGAGAGAAAACAAATTTCAATGAGCTGTTTAAATATCACAATTTTGCATTTTCTAGAAAGTAAACATTTTCAATATTAATGGAGAAAAATCATTTTAAAGCAATAAATTTGCCTTTAAATGGGAATAATAGAAAAAAAAACTAATAATTGATAGTTATTATTTCTATACAGGGTTGTTCACCACATACGACACGGAGTATTGTAGCTAAACGATTAGATTTTCACAAATTGTAAGTTTTGGGTTCGTTGAAGGTCAATTAGAGCTACAATCTAAAAATATTTTTACAAGATACAGAGTATTGTCCCAAATAAGTAAAAAATATTATAGTTATATTTTTTTAAATGGAACACCCTGTATATTATTCTATTTTTGGATTCTACGATTGAAATAAAGGTAAATTTAATTAAGGTTTATCACACTTAAACCTTACCGTTTTTGAAATATTTTCAATTTTATGAAATTGCAGTAAAAATTTTAAGGCTTTATTTCTCCCAGGGTATCAAACTTTTTAATACCAAATATTTACTGAAGATTATTTATTGATCAGATATCGTGTTGCAATAATAAAAATTTTACTACCTTATACAGAGTGTCCAAAAATTTATATTAAATAATTACTAGCTTTAAACGGCAATAACTTGTTTAATTTAAATGGAACACCCTATATATTTTACGTAAATCAGATGCACAATGTAATTGTCTATCAAATTTTATTATACCATTTTTACCCATCTCTTCAATTTTGGTAGAAAATGCATTTTTATAATTTAGGCCTCATTTATCACTATACCCATGGAATATTGACATTACAGATTTTTTTATAGCACCATAATATGTACAAAATGTACAGGTGGTAAATATTGCAAGCCCATTGGCATACGAAATAAACTATTTAAATATTTATAAAAGAGTATACCAATTAAATATACCATCATTATTTCCTACCAAAAACACCAAAAATTAGTTAATTACATACTTATAAATTGTTTTAATTAAAAAATTATTCTAAGTAAATGTGGATTTGGCTCAGAAATCAATATAATAATAAGTTATAAAAATGAATGTATGTGTTTTTATAAATAAGCATTCGTTAATAAATGAAGTAAAATCTATAAGGTGTTGCTTTTTACCACACTGTCTAATACACACACAAAATTCAGTTTTTTAGTACTACAACGTAAACAGTCAAATAATGTAGTTTGAATACTGGGATCATATTAATTGGTCCTCTTTAACAAAAAATATTTAAACAGTTTTTTTATTTTTTAATTAAATAAGCGAACTAGATATATCGACAATATTAGTATCTGTACCCTTTGAAAATTTGTTATATCTTTAAAAATAAGCTAAAATGTCAATATTCCATGGGTATAGCGATAAATGAGGTCTAAATTATAAGAAAATGCATTTTCTATGAAAACTTGAAGAGCTGGGTAAAAAATGGAACAATACAATTTGATAGACAATTACTTTGTGCATCTGATTCACGTAAAATATATAGGGTGTTCTATTTAAATTAAACAAGTTATTGCCGTTTAAAGCTAGTAATTATTTAATATAAATTTTTGGACACTCTGTATAAGGTAGTAAAATTTTTTATTATTGCAACACGATATCTGATCAATAAATAATCTTCAGTAAATATTTGGTATTAAAAAGTTTGATACCCTGGGAGAAATAAAGCCTTAAAATTTTTACTGCAATTTCATAAAATTGAAAATATTTCAAAAACGGTAAGGTTTAGGTGTGATAAACCTTAATCAAATTTACCTTTATTTCAATCGTAGAATCTAAAAATAGAATAATATACAGGGTGTTCTCTTTAAAAAAATACAACTATAATATTTTTTACCTATTTGGGACACTCTGTATCTTGTAAAAATATTTTTAAATTGTAGCTCTAATAGTCCTTCAACGAACCCAAAACTTACAATTTGTAATAATCTAATCGTTTAGTTACAATACTCCGTGTCGTATGTGGTGAACAACCCTATATAAAGAAAAATTATATGTTTCTAACACACACTTCACTGAATTTTATTATATTCAATTAAACGTTCACCTAATTGAAATCAATTAGAAATTTCCAACACACACACTATTTTATAAAAAATTAATTATTAACTTTATAATAATGTATTTTATATAATATAAATTTTTATTGAAATCGATATATTAAGTAGCGTTATAACGCATATTTTTGATATCATATTTTCATCAATGAATTTGAACTTTAATTAAATATCTCTCGATAATTAATACAATTTATGGAACAGATATTTCGATACCGTTTTATATAATGTAAAACAAAGATTAATTTTATATAACGTGTTAATAAAAATCTCATTTACAATTTTCACGAGCCAAAATATTGTTCATGTTTGTTTTATTTCGGATATAATTTTATTTTGATAGAGATTAGTAAGTCTTATTAGGTTTGATTTTAATATAGATATTAGAGTGTCCGTTATTTACAAAGTTGATCATTTCTCTCACGACGCCCTCTAAATTTTTAGTTTATTGTCTAAAAAAATAACAGACCATTGTAAACTCTTAATATTCACAATAAACCTTGCCCGAAAGACGATTCATTTTCTATTTAAATTACATGGGAATTTGCCACTTTTTGCAAATATTTTTTTTCTCTCGGTCTTGTCCTCTAGCAGTCATGACAATCACATATTCTTATACAGAATTGAACGCTGTACAAAAAAGGTCTCTTACAATTTTTCGATAAACCTTAATAAGACCTTTTTTGTAGAGAGTTCAATTCTGTACAAGAATATGTGATTGTCATGGCTACTATCGAGAGAAAAAAAATTATTTGCAAAAAGTGGTAAATTCCCATGTAATTTAAATGAATTGGAAATGAGTCGCCTTTGGGGCATGGTTTATTGTGAATATTAAGGGTTTACATTGGTCTGTTATTTTTTTAGATAATAAACTAAAAATTTAGAGGGCGTCGTGAGAGAAATGATCAACTTTGTAAATAACGGACACCCCTAATAGATATGTCAATATTTCTTATACATAGTTCGGTTTCTTTTAAAAATTCTGATTTGAAAAACTTTTTGAAATTAAACGCGACAACTGAAAGAACTTTCCTGGTCGTAATATAAAAGGAAGAAGTAGATATATTATATGGCGAGCTACAATAGAAAAGAGTAAAAATATATAATGAAGAGTTTGCGTTTTAATGTTCCCTTTAGGATTATCTTTAGATCCTTTCTAAACTTGCCAAGGGATTAAAAATATCGATTTCGTTTGGTTTTCACGTTATTATCCTTGATAGTACTAAAAACGTCCATGCTCGCATTAGTGTATATTTCAATCAACAAAAAACCTGAATGGTTTATTAAAAAAACTTGTGTGTACTATGTGCGCATATTTGTTAAACTTCTTACTAACAGCTATAAAAATCCTTCAAGGATTTGAAGGACATTTTTAAAAAAGTGTAGTTTGAAATGTTGAAAAAGTAATAAACTAAAAACATAGTTTTGACTTGTAAAAAATATTTTTTTACGTGAAACAAATAGTTTTTTACACGTAATAATTTGATTCACTTTCACAAATTAATATTTTTGATAAACACGTGGACTGTTCACAAATACACGTCGTGTCAATGCGTATTTCTAATGCCGGGACCCCATTTATTACACGCCACGCCACGCCACACAACACCACGCCACGCCACGCCACGCCATGCCATGCCATGCCACCCCACGTCATGAAGATCTGTAAGTTTGTTTTTCCATTTAATTTCATTATTGCGTACACACTAGGCAACACGCCACCTCACGTCACGCCACCCACGCTATCACACGTGTGATGAGCGATTCGTCTGCCCCAAATCTCATGTGTACACTCTCTCCCACGTCGCAACACGTGGGATAGCGTGGCGTTGCATGGCGTGTGGCATAATGGGATCCCGTATTTATGGGCTTACGTATTTTCTTTTCGTTACCACTAGCTCGTGTGTTATGGCCTTGAATTTTTACTCCCAGAGCGCGTAAAGAAGTTTCACTTCAAAAATAAGTAATTATATAAAAAAATAATTAATGAACAACTTACCAAGTTGAGCCATGCGTTTGTCGTAAGGATCTGATTCTTCTCATCCTAAAACAAATAAAAAAATAATAAAATAAACGGTTTATATATTTATTTTCGAAAGGCAACGATCAAAAAAGGATTTTTGCAAATGTTTTGAGTACAAAACTAGTATTTCTCCATATATAACATGTCAGACAAGCTTCAGTTTACGTTTTTGGCGCGTATCCAAATTATTGCGAGCAATCGAACCTATTCCGACAATTTCCATCAAAGTTATTTGTCGTTTTGCTCGTGTAATTTCTTTTTTATATCGGCAAAATAAAAATATTTTTCTCCTATATCAACCAGACAAATAAGTGTGATTCTTGTCCAAATGAGCTGTTATTTTTGAATTGTTTTGCATTTGAATTAATTTAAAAATATTCCTAAACCTTAATTTTTTTGAGTGGAATAAAGTTTTTATTATGAAATAATAACTATTCAAAACAACAATACTATTCAAAATAACAATTCTTACAAAAAATAAACCATCTTTTTAACTCCAAATGGACTTAACCGGTTAAAAATAAACATATTACAAGAAATAAAAACAGGAGTATATTTAAGTCCATATTTTTATAGACATTAGCTTTACTGAAATTATTTTTTTATGTAAAAAGTAATAATTAAACTGAAAATAATTAAATACACGAATAACCAAGATTATTAAAATTAATTCAGTTATATTAAAAATATAAAAATGAAAATTACTTTGTTAAGATCGTTAAATAAAATAAATGATATTATAAACTTATTTTTCTTTTTTTCTTTTACAGTTGGCATATTAAAGTACCGTATGATCGAAAAAAAAAACGGCTTCCAGTTGGCTTGTAAATGACCATCGATGACATTCCCCATATAATGTTACATACAAAATGAGAGCGAGCTTCATTTCAAAGCCATCCCTGACGCCGTTTTTTTTTCGATCATATTATTTATGGTGAATAACTGGTGTATAAGGTAATTAACTTATCATACCGTTATATTTTTCTCTTGAAGTTTTATAATGTGGTTGACATATTAATTTTGCTGAGGTTTGTTGGTGTTCCAACTAAAAAAATTGTTTTAAATGGAGCATTTTTTTTCCATACTAATTTTATAACAAATTTTGAGATTCATTCCTTTTAAACCCCATCAAACATATTTTAAGCAAGTTTAGAGTTTTTCCGTGCAAATTTTTTCCTGTTTAATTTACCTCTTCTGGAGATTTAGTTGAGACAAAGTCTTCTCCTTTCATTTCATACAAAATGAAGTTATTTTTTTCGGCAAATCTTTATTACCTTATAATAGTTTAGAGCAGCGTATACACTGAAGTAGCAATAATCAATAATTATTGTAACAAGAAAATTGTTTTAATTATAATTATTAGGAATAAGTCCATTCCATTTTCAAAAAAAAATATATTTGTGATTTTTGTTGATTTTATTAAAAAATTGTATTCCATTGAATGTATAGTTTTAAATATGAAAAGAATGTGTCTATATTATACTGACATGTTACTGACATTATCATTAACTCATTTTTTAAAAATTGGACTGTTACCACTTTCAAAACTAACAGCTGAAATAAAGTAAAATCTTGAAAAAATGCTGTGCCATTAATATAAATAAAGCAGAGTTCCTTTTTACTGCTTAAACTGCGATTTTACCCTAGAACCTTGTATTTATCATCTTAAAATACGCGTATTAAAAATTTAAAATCCATCTTATGGGTTTAGTCGGCTGGTGGAAAACTCTCAAGCTTAAAAGCCAAAATTTATTGGCGATAAATTTTCCGGATAAGGTCAATTAAAGGTAATTTAGGTATAAAAATTCAAGCCGCAAATAGGTGTCAAAGAATGTAAAATGCTAATTGAATAATTGAGTGAGTCCTCGAGTAATTTTCCCATTTAGAAGGAGAATTAATTTCCAAACCAGTAAGCAAAAACATTTTCGGGAAAAATCCTTTTTCAGGAGAATTTGTCACGAAATATTTCAGCATCGAGATTACAATAATTGGGTTAATGTATACAGGGTGCTACAAATTCGAGGTCCGAGCGTTGGTATCTCGGTATATAACCGTAAAAGATACGAACATGGTTAAATTAGAACAAAGTTGCGCTTTGGGATGTTCACCAAGATGAGAAAATTGATTGAGAAAAACGGATTTTTTTTAAATCAATTTTATTTTTACCTGTCGTTACTTTTTAGAAAATCAAAAAACTAATTGCACATTATAGCCACTTTATTAGCTATAATTAGCTGATAATTTGTGAGATACAGACGCTAACTTATTTTTTTTAAATACAGACCTGCATTTTTTATTTTAGAATAATTAATAGAATATTTTTAACAAAAATAAACATACATTATGTCTCACTAAACAGTTATTAGACTGAAATCATAAAGAAATTATTTGGAAAAAATCGAAATAAAAATGAAACTTTTACACCCTGTATCTCCGAAACTAAGCATTATAGAACATACATCTATACGAACTTTTTTACTTATTTTTATTTACAGAATACGCTGCGAAGTTTCCGGAATACAGTTCGGACCATCCTGTATATACAGGGTGTCCCAGAAAAAAAGGTGTTTTCAAAAAAAAAATTTTTTTGGAAATTTTCAAAGTAAAATAACTCTGTTATTTTGGACTTATTTGAAAAACGATAAAGAGAAAATATGTTTCTTTTATCGAGATTTACCACCCCTTAAAATACTTGCACTTATTTCTGGGACACCCTGTATAATTGTCATTTATTTTAAACTACTCTAACAAAATGTGACTATATTTAGAAATCCTTTAAAAAAGGGAATGAAAATCTATTATATAGAAGAAAAAAGGCCAAATGGCCTTTGTAGACTACCAAAAAGTCTTTGACAGCATCGAAACCTGGTCATTTCTAGCTGCAATGGAGGACGCGAGAATTGATTCCAGATATTATTCCATTATTAAAAATATCTATGATAGTGCAACCTTCCAAGTTAAATTAGATGATGACCTCAAAACAGAAAAAAATACTACTCGGCAAGGGCGTGAGACAAGGAGATACAATCTCTCCCAAGTTATTTACACTGGCACTGGAAAATGTCTTCAAGAAATTAGAATGGGAAAATAGAGGTCTAAACATCGATGGGGTACACCTTAGCCATCCGAGGTTCGCAGACGATATTGTCTTGCTGAGCACCGACATTCAAGAACTAAACACCATGCTAAATGAGCTAAATGAGCAATCCCAGAAAATTGGCCTTAAAATGAACTTGAAGAAGACCAAGATAATGAGCAACAATATCCGTGGACAACGTTATTATTGAAAACGTAGACCATTATATATATTTAGGTCATAAAATCAAGCTGGGCAAGGAAAACCAAAATACGGAGATCAAACGCAGGATCCATTTGGCATGGGTAGCATTTGGAAATATGAGCGATATTTTCAAGGATAAAAAGGTGCCCATGAACCTAAAGAAAAAGGCTTACGACAGCTGCATTCTACCTGTGCTTACGTATGGCTTAGAGACTATGGCAATTACTCGAAAAACAGCAGAACAACTACGAGTAGCACAAAGAGCCATGGAAAGAATCATGTTGGGAGTCACCATTAGGGTGTGGGCCGACCAAAAAAGAGATGGGTCGATGACGTCAGGGCAGTGGCGGGAAGACAATGGATAAGATTGGCTAGAGATCGCGAAGCATGGAAAAACCTAGAAGAGGCCTATATCCAACACTGGATGGAACCAGGCTGAGAAAGAAGAGAAGAAAAAAAGAATTTAAATAAGTAATATATGAAATACTGTTAAACAACAAACAATAATAAACGGGTCGTATTATTGCCTGAAGCCCGAGGCAGGAGAATCAGTCAACCGAAAACACCTCCTGAATACACTTCTCCGCCTTGTTTCAAAGAATAAATTTTCGGAGCAAACTAAATATTTGGAGGAGAACTTCAGGCTGAGAGCGTATTTTTGATTAGTATTTGCCAATAAATGATTAAACACGCCAATTAAAATTATTTTATAGCCAAGCAAAATTTTCACTGATCCTCTATTTTGTAATATATTTATAAAATCAAAATTTCTCTCTAATAAATTTAAAAAAATGTTTAATAAATAAATGAAGATGGTTTAATAAAAGTACAGAAGGCCAGTTCTAATAAAATAATCCTTACCACATCAATGATTTGCTGCAAAGTTAGGCCGAACTTAACTTCTAAAGGTTCTGACTCGTTGGCGACTGGTCTCTCTAAAACATTATAACTTTCCAACAAGATGGTGAGCAACCGCTTCTCGTGAGGTCCTTGTAGAGACCCTGAAAAAATAAAAGAAAAACCATTTTAGAACTTGTTCCTAAGCAGCATGTTGTTTTAGAATATTTTTGCAAAAATAATTAATATCTAATTAATTATTAAGCAATAACTGAAACTAACTTTTGTTTAAAACAAGTTTGCCAACTAACTTAATAGAAAACAAGGCGTGCGATGTACTAATTAAATTAAATTAATATTTATTTTAATTAATACCATTTTACTTCACAAAATTACCATCGATTTTGGCTGTTTTTTAGATGTTTTCGCGTTAAAATTATGAAAATTTCTGAACTTGTAGCAAATTTTATGTACTTCTAGAATATATAAACTTTTATGGGCTAAAAAGCTGTGATTATGACAAGTAATATTTTTATAGCACGATTTTTGATTATGGTAAAATACACGTTTTCAAGACACTCAGAAAAATAGTAACCATAGCGATAAAAATATAAAAATTTTGGCAATTGTAGCAAATTTAACGCAGATTTAAAATATATAAACCACTAAAGACTTACAATTTTTTATTTTATGATTAAATCAATCGTTTTGGACCCTTGCAAAATTTAACAGCTTTCGAGACACTCTTTTCTCACAAAATACTAAACACAGCGATAAAATTATGAAAATTTCTGAACTTGCAGAAAATTTTATGTACTTCTGGAATATATAAACTTTTATGGGCTAAAATGCTGATATTGTAACTGTGACAATCATTTTTTTAAGACAAGCACGATTTTTGATTATGTTTAAATACCGGTTTTCAAGATGCTCAGAAAAATAGTAAACATAGCGTTAAAATTATGAAAACTTGGAGTATTGTAGAAAATTTAATGTAGATTTGAAATATATAAACCATTAAAGGCTTAATTTTTTTTCTTTTATGAATAAATCAATTTTTTTGAACCCTTAAAATTTAGGTGTCGCGCACCAAAAAATGGTTAAACAGTATACGTCAGACAGTTTCAAACACTTTCTACTAGTTTATCACATATTAAATATGTTAAATGATCTAAATATTATATATTTTTACACATACATGACATATCTAGATGTATTACTCAAGTTTATAAGTGTAAGATACCAAAAATCTGGTCGATACCGAAATATGCTATGTCTTCCTAAAGTTTTTTTTTAATAAAATTAATTTAACTTATATTAAAATTATATTTGAAAATAATACTTCAATATTTACTTTAAATTTAAAATTATATATACGACGCCCCATATTAACAAATAATATTTTATAACAAATATATGCAAACGAGTGTGACAATCGGATTAGTTTTACATATACGCAGACAAATAATTCAAAATTAACATCGTGTACATTCATATTACAAACAAAAATATAAATAGATTGTTAACAATCCATTTTATTCCTAAAAACTAATTTAACATATTTGCTCTCAATAAAAATATTAATTTATGCATTAAATTCTAGATTGCATTGCTTTTGTTACAAGTACAACAGATTAAGGTTATATATTTGATAGGCAACGAAGCCAAATAACTCAGTTTTAAATAAATTTTCATTAAAATATAAAAAATTCGGGTAGCAAACGAAAGGTGAACTTCAAATTCAGCAGGCATTTATTAGTATAACTTTTATTATTCATTTTGTAACTCTGCATAACTCAAATTTAATTCCCGAAATTATTAACAGAAAAAGGTACGAAATCCTATCGTACTTTAATTTAAATGTTATTTAAATTATTACATGTACGAATACATATTTCATTTTTAATAAAATAAATTTAATGTTGTATTTATAGATGTAGAAATATTTTTCATTTTATTAATATTATATATTTTATTTATTTCTAAGTATTATGAAAAATACTAAAAACAACGTAAAATTACGAAAATTTCTGCAAATTGTATGTACTCCTGGAATATATAAACTTTTATGGGCTAAAATGCTGTGATTGTGACATGTAGCATTCCGCATTCCGGAATTCATGTCAATTTCTGAGAGAAAAAATTGGCGCCTATTTTAGTTTCAAAGTGGGAATTCTCAAGGAATTTTTTCAATTTTTTTTTATTTCAAAAACTGCGACTTTGACTGATTTTGATGTTATTATAAATTTTGTTGCAAATATTATTCTTAATCTTAAATTGAAAACCGCGTTTCGCTAGCTACTGTAATTTTGGAGTTACGATTTTTTAAAATTTTTAACCCCTTCCCATACCCCCTTACCAACCCCCCACCCCCACCAAAAACTAATGGCCAGATTCTCGGGTGCCACAGTATTTTTGTGCCAAATTTGATTAAAATCGGTTTAGCGATTTTTGAGTTATCGTGTTACAGACGGACAGACACCATTAAAATATTTTGTATTTAGGTCATTTATGATCCAAATAACTCATTTTGGGTGAAATTAAAAAACCTTTTTTTTTGCCGATCTTCAATTTCTATTAGTATAGTCGGCTAAAAAATATGCGAGTATCTTTTTTCAGGAGAAATATAAAAATAAAATACTTTGAAATCGACATAAATATAGAGAAATCTTGTAACAGTCGAATAAAAATAAATGAATCTGACAAACGAGCTTATTTCGGATTGTTAAAATATAAAAAAACGGATTTCTAAAAAAATATGTTGTTTTTTGAATATTTTCCCTTCCGTTAATTTTAATATAACTGCAAAAAATATACCTGTTATGAAAATTGGGGAATTTAAACCACGTTACCTACTGAAGGGTTAGAAAACTAAAATTAAAAGAACGTAAATAGCTTTCAGCTAAAGAGATAGCTGCCTGTCCTAATATTTCCATCAAGTTCTAGAAATGGAAATTTATGGTGTATTTGCATTATTATCGGATATATCAAACACAACGGATATTTCGCGATTTGCTCAAAGGAATTTCAGCCCTGACGGTTAAAGAGTCGGAATTTACGGTTGACATTTAACCAACGACCAGTCTTTGATAAAAGCTTTTCATTTTATCTCTAGCCTCGCGATGGTTTTAAAGGAACGAGCATTTTAATTGATAGAATACAAAATTCGTATTATTTAAATGCGCCAGTTTGGAAACAATGGCCAACCAGAAAATATGTCTCGAGAAAATCCTTGAAGAATAAAAAAAAATATTTTGAGAAAGTTATTTAATTTCCTGCAGAAAAAAATGTTTTTAATTTCTTTTCTGTTTTCAACGGTCTTGTTACAATAGAATATTCTTTTGTTTATTTATAGCGGGAGCAAATAAATGTCTTGGATCAATAAATACAGACTGACCATAAAGCTTGTAGTTTCCTCTTAACTAAAAAAATGAAATACATTTTGGCAATGTGTAATAGGGTATCGGTTATGTACAAAGTTGATCATTTCTCTCACGACGCCCTCTATATATTTTTTGATAAAATAATCATAATTTTGTCAAAAAAGTTGAAGAATTTAGGAATTTACCGAGTGGTTGACTTTAACCGTGAATAACTTTTGAAGGAGAAGGTTTAGCGAAAAATTGTAAGAAACCTTTTTTGTACAGCGTTCAATTCTGTATAAGAATATGTGATTGTCATGGCTGCTAGAGAACAAGACCGAGAGAAAAAAAAGATTTGCAAAAAGAGAAAATGTATATAATTGTAAAAATTTAGAGGGCGTCGTGAGAAAAAAAAAATGATCAACATTGTAAATAACGGACACCCTAGTGTGTAAGATAAAAATACGTAAATATAAGCTTAAAAGAAATGTGATTTATTTTACTCCTTTATCGCCAAAGATATGAAATCGGTTTAATTAAACTAAAACAGAATTAAAACGTGTTAAACAAACGTTATGCTAATGTAGGAAATCTAAAGTGTTTGCTTAAAAGATACAATCAGCAAACATAATAATTTTAATGCTGTACAAATGAACAAAATTTGCCTGAAGATTATTAAATAGACACATATTTCTGTTACCGTAACTTGAATTAATTAAACTTACAAATATCTAAATAATGCTAATGACTTCAAGAGAAGTTCGTGCAAACAGAAACAAAGAAAATTACGAAGATGTCTGAAACTTTACAGAAAGTAAAAATTAATTTTAGTTTTAGTATGAATACCAAGAAGTTAGACAAGACCTTGTTTGCATGCTGTATATTAAGTTTAAAACAACCAAATAAACGTCGAAAGAATATAAAGAAGAAATTACTAAATGGAACATCTTCGATATACTCCTTAGATGCACTGAAAACAATATAAGTAATTTTACAAAAAAAAACTGATACATTATAGTATTTTTAAAAAGAAACTTGTTTCACAAAAAAATGTAATTTTACGAAACAGTTTATTAACATTAAATAATTATTATTAAACGATATGACAAGAAATAACCCTCAATATTGTTATTACATTCACAAATTAATTCTTTCGGTGTGTTATAATTTACTAATGTATGGGACACATTTACCTTAAAATGTTGAAATTTTAAATTAACCAAAAACTGAAAATTCTTTCATTACATAAAACACCTTATACTGCTTACAACTTAATACTGTTTCTGTTAGACTTAAGTCCTAACACAAAATATAAATCTCTTGTTATTACCTAGCGAACATAAATAACACTAAAGGTAGTGGAGTAATAAGCACATCTTTAGATCGCCAATAATGATATATGGTAGCCCCTGGCTTCAAAATAGACAGTGTAAATTAAGAAACCGTCTTCAAAAGCAGAACAGTTCTATTGCTGGCCAGTATTGAGAGGTTACCTCCCGAAATCCCTTACAATCAGCAATAAATTTTTATAAAACCTCAAATTACTGGTTAAGTCTTTTTTATATTAGTGTGAAATATATTTTGCACGTTTTATATATAACAAGAATAATTAATATTTGGTTACCTTTTAGTGAGAGTTCGATTTAACATCACAATTATCCGAAATTAGATAATGCTTCAGCAGAATTTATTGAAATTGAATCTATTTTAATTTAAATTTAATTATTATTTAGTGATTTTCGTTAGCTGGATAATGTTTTTCGTAGGCTGAATTTATTTTATGGTGTGCAGAGAGTTTTGAC